TTTAAAATAACCGAATGCATAGTTTCTAACTTTAATAGAACTGGAAAGGGCTGGAGATTTTTCTGCTTCAGTCTCATCATTCTACAGATAAAGAAACTGAGGCATGTAGAACTTAAATGCCTTAACAAGTTACAGAATGTACTAAATAGCATCCATTTAATGCTACAACCATAAATTTAGAAAGTATCCTCAAAAGCCCTATTGTAGTCAGTGATATATATTAAATATCTACTATGAAGTGCATTCTGTTATTAGGGGCAGGGGAAATGGTTCTAGATACAGAAATAAATGTGGTATGGTGACTGTTTTTAGGGAACTCAAAAATCCAGTTATATTTATGTATCCTTTTTAGACTACAGGAGCTAGGTGGACTAACTATAATTTGTTGGGGGGCGGGAGGGGGCTGGCCAATATGGGGATCCAAACCCTTGACTTTGGTGTTACAAGGCCGTGCTCTAACCAACTGAGCTAACTGGCCAGCTCTCATTGTGAATTTTTTAAACTACTGTAAGTATGGAAGCAGTAGTGGGTCAACAGTAGTAATACTTCATGTGATTATTGGAGCTGATAGGTTGGGAGGTGTCATTGAACACTGGTGGGATGTTTGCCGCTGTCTCTTGCCTAGTACTGAAAACGGAGTAGACCAGAGTAAACGTTGAGGTAGCGAAGTCTGGCCTGTTCTCTACACGCAGGGCTTTGTCCTGGTTTCTCATTCCGTACTTGTCTGATGCGTACAGGTGTACCTGTGGAGTTTATAAACACTTTCACATTTGGTATTTCATTGGATCTTCACAACAGAACTATGAGGCAGGCTGCACAGATAGCAATATTACCCGTTTACGGGTGAAAATATTAAGTGACTCGCTCAAGGTCACATAACTACAAATCATGAAATCAGGGCTCCAATTCTACTCTTTTGTTAAATAAACATTTATTTTAGAATAATTTTCAATTTACAGAAAAGTTACAGGGAATTCCCACGTGCCCTTTTTCTAGTTTCTCCTAATATCTGGTACATTTGTCAAAGCTCAGGAATTAGCCTTGGTATTTACTATTAACTAAACTAAACATGGGTCTTCTTAGTCTCCTTTGGTCTGTGACAATATCACAGTCTTGGTTTTCATTATGTTGACAGTTTTGAAGAGTATTAGTCAGTACTTTGTAGAATGTCTCTTAACTTGGCTTTGCCTGCTGTGTTTTTCTCATGATTATACCGGGGTTATTTTGGGCAAGAGCATCATGCAGGTGAAGTACCCTTCCCAGCACATCCTGTGGGGTATGTAACATCCATCTGACATCCCTGGTGACATTAACCATCATCACCATCACTGGTGAGGGTTGCTCTTGCCACGTTTCTCCACTGTAAAGTTACTATTTTTTCGTTTTTGTATTCAATTAGTTGGTATTGAGTTCCTAAGTGGAGACCGCACTCAAGATGTGGGAATTGAGCTTCACCTTGTGGAGTGTGGGAATATCTATATACATTCTGTGGAATTCTTCTCTAAGGATGATTTGTCTCTTCTCCCCTGTTATTTATTTAATCTCTTATGCCAACATGAACCCATGTATATCTATTTTATACTTTGGGTTATAATCCAAATAGCTACATTATTTATTTCACATGAATTGCTCCAGTTTTGGGCATGGGAGCTCTTTCGGATCCTCTGTCCATTTGACATGCCTCTTCTTTTATTTTTTTGAGCACTGTCTTCTGGCAGTATAAGGTGCTCTAGGCTCATCTTGGTTTTTCCCTGCCAAAACTCTAGAATCGGCCGTTTCTTCAAGGAGCAGTCCTGGACTTTTGACCCCAGGTGTATGATTCTTTGCATGATTCCTCTGTCTCATAAATATGAAGATCAAAGCAGTTTCCAAATTTTGGTTGTTGGTTTTCTTGTCCCAGTATTTTAGATACCATTGTTTCTCTTTATGGGTTTGAAATTTTATTTGTGTTTATTAACAAGAACAAAATGTTTTCACCAGGAAGTGTGCTGCTGATAAGATGTGTCAGTCTGCTGTATGGAATCAAATATGTTCATTATAAATAGTTTTGAGGAGTGAGACTTGGTATTGGCCAAATAAAATTTGAGTATACTTTGTATTTTCTATGAATGTCAAGATCTATGTAAATAAATTGTAGAATTTTGATTATTAATATTCCTTTTATAGGAATAGTTTTGTTTCTGTAATTTTGGAGTGCATAAAACATATAGCTTTGGTTTAAAATAGATGATTGAAGGACTTTCAGCAGTCTGGGGTAGAGGGAATAGCAGCATTATATGAGGAATCAGGAGACCTGTGTTTTAATCTTTGCTGCATTTCTAACATGGCAGAGGTCCTAAGGGAAGTTTTTAAACTTCATAGATCTTGATATTCTTATCTGTAAAAGAAGAGGGTTGGACAAGATCTTTAAGGTCAACCACCCTTCTCCCTTTTTTTAAACAGCTTTATTGAGGTGTTAAGTTCCCTTCTGGCAATTCTGTGGTTCTTTTTATATTAGAATTTAGCAAATCTGTTCGTGTGTGTGTGTGTGTGTGTGTGTGTGTGTGTGTGTGTGTGTGTGTGTGTGTGTGTAATACTGGAACAGGCCTAGTTGAGGTGTTAAGTTCCCTTCTGGCAATTCTGTGGTTCTTTTTATATTAGAATTTAGCAAATCTGTTCGTGTGTGTGTGTGTGTGTGTGTGTGTGTGTGTGTGTGTGTGTGTGTGTGTATAATACTGGAACAGGCCTAGTGTTACAGGTTAAAAATAGGCATTTGGTTCTAGTTTGTACTTGAAAGGAAATATCATTCAGGAAATACTACAATACTGAGAGGAAAATCTTACAGAAATAAAATCCTTCGTATTTCCTTTAACAATCTGATCTTCCACATAGAATGTGTAATTTAACTTTAACAAGCTAGTATCACAGAAGTTTGGAAACTGCCATCTCAAATGTTTTTAATTCATATTTTATAAAGCAGACATGGCTTCTCCATGTTTTGTTACACAAACCCTCACTTTTGCAAAATTCATTTATAAGTTGATATGTGGGGATTTTATTCATCTTCTGAAAGAGGATCAGAGGAGGTTGTGTCTTTGTTTTACTTCTTTAATATTTGGCTTTACAGAGATGAATGAAGGAAAAAAAAAATTTAATTTCTTGAAGCTTGGCTTCCTGACTGTGATTTCTCAAGTTAGGGGTGAGAGAGGGTGAAGTCAACAAGAGAATGTGTGTGGTTTGAAAACACAGTGATATTTTGTACTACTGTTTTCATGTATTTTAGTCACAGTGTTTAATTTATATTGATTTCTAAATAAAGTAAAACAGGCCATCAGTTTTTTAAGTTTAAGAAAGTGGAATCACATGGTGTATAGTGATTGAGAAACACTGATACACGTAAGAAATTGGGGAGAATTACCCCCACTTGACCTGGAATGTGAATATCACATGGAAGGTACAGGAAAAAATGAATTCAGATGATAGCTTTGATATCTTATAAAAATATTACAAATACGGTATATTACACTATATAGTATACTGTGGTACTGTATTACCAATACTATAGTATTGTACACATACTATACCATAATATACTATGTTGAAAGTGTAATTTGTTAAACAATTTATTGTAATTATTGGCTTAATTTTAGAACTGGTTTTATAGGGCAGAAATTTTAAAGCCTGCTTAATTGATATCCCATAAAAATTGTTGAACTTTATTATTAATTTTAATTTAAAAAGTGACCTTTCATTGTGATAGGTAAAATAATATTCTCCTGTGGACATTGTTGATGTTCTGTTATTTATGTCTTCAGTAAATATCTATTGAAAACTTACCTTGGGTTACACTTCTTGAATTAATGCTTTAATTAAAGTTTTACTGTCTTCTACAAGCTTATTTTAGAATTCTTACTACATTAGATACTTTGTGTATTTTACGTGATTCTTCTTAGGAATAGTTTCCTGAGAAACTAAGAAAATTTAGTTTCTTGTTTCCTTCTTAAGTTTTGCAGAAGTTTTGATAAACTAATATATGTTAAAAACTACTGTTAAGAATGGACAAATGTTTTATTAAGTGAAGAGAGATCTTAAAGGGTGGCAAGTTCACTTAGATTGTTGGGAGAGTTAAAATTTTATCCATTTTGTAATTGTTTCAGTTATAACTGGTAACTCAAGTGTTATTTTTTTCTCTCAGAAACCTGAGTCTCATTTTCCTTTTAGCAACATAGGTGTATATTTCAGATTACTGGCAAATGCCTGGGTAGACAGTCCTTTTTTTTTTTCTTTTTGATAGATATTCATAGGAATAAAATTATTTTTTAATTACATGAAAAACATGATTTTAAAGACATTGATGAAGAAATTGCTATGAGAAGTAATTTGTCCCTATACTAATGACTACAGTTTCACTATAAGCTCTATGAGGGCAAGGACGGTGGCAGGTTTTTTATTTTCACCAAGATGTTCATGTAATAAGTGGACTGATCTATTTTGAAGGACATTGCTTAGTTGAGTCTATTTGCATTTATCAACATTATTATGAAAATATCAAACATACAGCAAAGTTGAAAGAATTTTGCAGTGAACACTCATATGCCTACCGTATAGATTTTTCTACTAGCATTTTATTATACTTGCTTTATCAAACATCTGTCTGCCCGTTAATGTATCTTATTTTTGGTGCATTTCAAGGATTTTCCTGGTCTATCGTGGAAGCTAATTTGTATTCAGGAACCATAGTTTGAATTGGTGGAAGGGAGGTGATAAGTCAGCTTTAGACATCAGATGTTCCTCTGTTACTGACCTCAGAACAATTATATTGATAAATTATGATTTCTTACTAATGTTCCTGTGGTTTTTAATATTATTTCCAGCATTCGATGTAATCGTCTGATAGAAATTCCTCAGTTTCTGAATATCATGATGGTGTGAATGCAGATCATGCATGTTTACCATTGCTGTTACAAACAGCGTTACCATTATTTCCAATGGGCTTACTTTTTCATGCGCTTTCTGTTTAGGAGTAGCCCATCGAAGCCAGAGCAGTGAAGGAGTCAGTTCTCTCAGCAGCTCACCCTCCAATAGCCTTGAAACACAGTCTCAGTCTCTTTCCCGTTCTCAGAGCATGGATATCGATGGTGTCTCTTGTGAGAAAAGGTAAAGTGAAGCCAATTTTCTGATACGCTGTTTTATTTGTGGAAAGGGGAAGATTCGTTCACTTTAGTCTCTAGTCCAGTAGCCTCAAATGCCAGCCCAGAGACCCAGGCCAGTCCTTAGCAGATTAGAGCTAAATTTATTACATTTAAAGGTCTTTGTATTATTCTGGAATGTTCATTATACTTTATTTTGCTGTTATTAAATACCTTTTATGAAATAATGGGTGTAGGTGGTTAAAAATATTCTTTTTAATGTCCTTGTTTTGCAAATACAAAGTTGGCAAATAAATGTCAGTTCCTAAAAATTTCTTCCAAGTTTTACTGACCAGTGAAATTTAAAAGTTGGGAAAGTTTCAGACAAGTAAGCTGACTGCCCTCTTTGTCCATGAGGATCAGGGTATCCTAGAGCAGCAGAACCTTCCTGTGCTGCAAGCGTGCTGTGAATGAGTGATAGAGTGGCACAGGTGTTGATTCCTTTAATCCTTGGGCAAGTCAGACCCCGAGGCTTCATCAACTTTGCCTTCAAGCAGCTCCCTCTGTTTATATCAGTGGACCAGAAAAATATCATTTTCTGTGTGTGTCATGATGTAAAAAAGGTTGCAAGGCACTGGTGTAAAGCTTCAACACTTGGGGGATTGGAGTGAGGAGACATATCAGAGATCACCCTATATAAAACAAAAATTCAGGAAGGACTACACTTGCAGGGAAAAAAATCACATAGAAAATCTCTTCCATAGATTAAAAATAATTATGTTTTTATTATCTTTGCTCTTGTGGAGGTATTTAAAAAATCAATCTAACTCTGAGATTTTGTGACCACTAGGTGACTTTCATGTGGGTTTAGGCTAGATTTACACTACTAGTGTAGTCTGAAAAACCTTAAGCTAAGAAGTGGACTGAGGCCTATAATGCCTTTAGACATCTAGCAGAAGCAACACAAATTATTGCAAGTCTTCAGAGAATTTCCTTAGAAAAAGTTCTAAGAGGGCCGGCCCGGTGGCGCACTGGAGAGTGCGCTGCTTGGGAGTGTGGTGGCGCTCCCACCGAGGGTTCGGATCCCATGTGGAGACCGGTTCCCGCTCACTGGCTGAGCGCGGTGCGGGCGCAACACTGAGGGTTGTGGTCCCGTTGCCGGTCCCCGGTACGGGCGCGACACCGAGGGTTGCGATCCCGTTGCCGGTCCCCGGTACGGGCGCGACACCGAGGGTTGCGATCCCGTTACCGGTCAGTAAAAAAAAAGACAAAAAAAGGAAAAAAAAAAAAAGAAAAAGTTCTAAGAAATATGAGCTCATAGGGAGGGGGTGAGAAAAAAAAAATATGAGCTCATAGTCAAAAATTGCAAAACACACTAGAATACAAGTTACCATGAGTAAGAATCACCAGAATCAGTAACAATAAAATTTATTCTCCCAAAGATTTTTGGGTTTTGGAATTATCAGATAAAGAATACAAAATATGTACACTTGAATAAAAAAGGGAATTGAAAACATAAATAAGGGACAAATGACTAAAAACCAAGTGCATTTGAAAAAGGACCAAATAGACTTTCTAGAAATGAAAAGATAATTCAAATGGAAAACTCAGTGTAATAGTTCAACAGTGGATTAGACATACCCGAAGAGAGAATTGCCACATTGAAAGAGAGCTGAAGAAATTATCCAGAATATACCACAAAGAGAAAGATGAAAAATATGAAAGATATTTAGAGATACAGATGACAGAGGTCAAGTATATATCTAAAATATCAAAAGATTATCAAAAGGAGAAAATAGAGACTTGGAGAGCATCCCTGTCTTCACTCTTTTTCATATTCCTTCGTCTGCTAGTTTGGAAGCTGTTATCAAAAAGATAAATGGCTGAGATTTTTTTCTACAGTTGGTAAATGATATGAATCCTCAGATTTAGGAAGCCCAGTGAATCCTGAGCAAAACAAAGAGAAACTTGTACCTAGACATTTTGTAGTGAAATTGCAGAACAACAGTGACAAAGACATTTAAACCACCGTGGAGAAAAGAGAGAGAAGAAATGACAGGCAGGCAGGCATCTCAGTGCTGGAAGCCAGAGGATGGTGGAATAACAGCCTTAATGCTGAGAAGAAGGAACTGTTAGCAGGGACTTGTGTACCCGTGTGGATCTGTCTTTTAAGAGCAAGTATGGGGCCAGCCCAGTGGCGCATTCGGTAGAGTGCGGCGCTCCCGCCGAGGGTTCGGATCCCATATAGAGACCGGTCCGCTCACTGGTTGAGCGCGGTGCAGGCGCGACACCAAGGGTTGCGATCCCGTTGCCGGTCATGGTACGGGCGCGACACTGAGGGTTGCGATCCTGTTACTGGTCACGAAAAAAGACAAAAAGAAAAAAAAAAAAAAGAGCAAGTATGAAATAAAGACATTTAGAGATTTTAAAAACAATTAAACAACAACAAAAAACCCCTTTTGGTATGCCAGTAGAAACCCTAATTTTTAACAAATGTAGTTTTAAGAAGAAGGAAAATGATCTCAGGACTAATGTCTGAGATGCAAGAAGGAGCGCTAAATGAAGAATAGGATAAACACGTGGTACATGTAACGAACACTGATAGGTAAAACAGTAATAGTGTATAAAACAGCAATAGATGAGAGGAGTAAAGATTCAAGTAGATCGGAAATACTGAACAGCAATAGCAGGTAAGCCAGAAGAGGTGTGATGAGAGCACACATTCTCAGGTCCTTTATTATCTGGAAGAGGGGTAAAGGTACTAGATAACTTTTAGATTTTGAGTTAAGAATATTTGCTAAAATTTTAAGAGTAACTATTTAAAAAATAGAAATGGAGTATATTTTCCAAACTAGTAAAGAAAAAATATGGAACAAAGTGGGGGAAGAGAGTGGGCAGAACTTAAGTCAGTTCAAAGAAAGGGAAAAAGAAATACAAATTTTAAAAAGGGACAAATAGCACAAAATAAGATGGTTAAAAAAATCAAAGTATGTCAGTATTCACAATTAATCACAATTAAAAGTCATAGGTTGGATGAAAACAAAACAAGACTCAGCTTTATATTTGTTTACGGAAAGCATACCTGAAATATTAGGGTAGAGAAAGATTGAAAGTATAAGAAAGGGAAGAGATATACCAAGCACATACTAAATAGAAGAAAATTTGGGTAAACATTCATTAGAAGTTAGTCAGTCACTACAAAATTACAGCTAGATAGGAGGACTAAGTTCTTGTGTGCTATAGCACTGTAGGGCAACTACAGTTAACAATTTTATAATGTCAAATAGCAAGAAGAGAGGATTTTGAATGTTCCCAACACAAAGAGATGGGTTTGAGGGGACGGATATGCTAATTACTCTGATTTAATCTTCACAAATTATATACATGTATCCAAATATCACATTGTACCCAATAAATATGTACATTTATTATATGTCAAAAATAATAAATGAAAAAATTAAATTAGACTTTAAAGCACACAGCATTATTAGAAATAAGAATTTTATAATGATACATGTTTACCAGGAGGATATAACAGTTTCAAACATATGGACAGTAAATAATATAACATTGACGTGTAATAAAGCAAATATTGATAGAACTGCAAGAAGAAACAAACACATACATAATCATAATGGGAGATTTTTAACATGTCTCTTTCAGTTATCAATAGATAAGGACAATAAACATCAGCAAGCATGCAGACAAATTAAACAACACAGCCAACAAGCTTGATCAAATTGAAAGATACAGAACTTGGTACCCTGCAGTCTTTCCTAATACTCAGAAATGTTTCAGGAATCAGAGTCATACAGATCATGTTTTCTGACCAGTACATTATAGGTTAGAACATTAATATAGAACTTTTTAAAAAACCTCATACATTTGAAAATATTTTTAAAAGAGCATGCTTTTTTAGGTGAAAGGTCAAAGAAGAAATCATAGCAGAGATTTGAAAGTATCTACACTTGAACAATAAATATTACGTATCAAGATTTCTACATTCAGCTGAAGTGATTCCTAGAGGAAAATATGAAGCTATAAATCTATTAAAAATGAATAAAGGAAGAAGAGAAAAGTGATAAATAAATATTGGGAATAAAAGCCCTTTTCTGGGAATGTTTCTGAAATGTTCTTCCCTGGACATGTACATGGTCAACCTCCTTCCTGCCTTTGCTCATGTGCCATTTCTAAGTGCAGCCCACCCCACTTAAAATGGAAAGTGCCTGCACTCTTAATGGCCTTTCCCTGTTCTTTTTTCCTTCATTTTTTCATAGCATTTATTTCTCCCCAACCCTCCCCCTAGCATTTTTCATTTAATATATCTATGCTTTGCTCATTGATTATGTTTACTGTTTATTATCTTTCTCCCTCTAGGATATAAGCTCTGTGAGGTAGAGATTGTTTCGTCTCTTTTGTTGATCAATATCTCAGATACCTAGAATAATGCCTGCACAGAATGGGCACTCAGTAATATTTGTCACTGAAGAAGAGAATTCCATGAAAAATATAAATATACAAAGTCCATATCAATTTGAAGATTTGGATGAAAATCAAATTCCTAGAAAAACATCATTCTCCACAAAGTTGATTCAAGAAGAGAGAACTTAAATTATCAAAAACCATGAAATAAATTGAATCAATATTGTAAATTTTTCCACAGAAAACATCTTGCTCATATGATTTTTTTTTTTTTTTTTTTTTTTTTTTGAGTGGCTAGCTGGTACACGGAATCTGAACCCTTGACCTTGGTGTTATCAGCACCACGCTCTAACCAAGTGAATTAACCAGCCAGCCCTCATACAAGTTTGTAGGTAATTCAACTGTTCCAATTTTGCAGAAATTTTTCCAGATAATTAAAAAAATAGGGAGTGCTTCAACTCAGTTTATGAAGCTAATGTGACCTTGTTATTGAAACTAGACAAGAATAATGTAAATGAAGAAAATTAATTACACGATAATCATACTTGTGAACGTATTTGCAAAAATCTTAAGATACTGACAAATCAAATACCACTGCACATCATAAAAAACGGGCAAAACGATTCTGTTGGGTGAGCTGCCAGGGCAGTGGTTACTGTGGGCCAGAGTAGTAAGTGATTACAAAGGGTCACAAGGGGGCTTTTGGGGTTTTGATAACATTCTGTTTCCTGATCTGGGTGCTGATCGTATTAGTATGTTTACTTTGTGAAAGTTCATTCATCCAAACACATATCTGTGCACATTTCTGTACATAGATTTCAATTAAAAGTTTATGTAAAAAGTAATACAGTGTAATATGATGTGATAAATATGTTACGTTCAACTTAAGTTTATCTCAGGAATGTGTGTGTCATCATTAGAAAATCTGTAAATATTATCCACTGTATTATAAAGAGAAAATCCTTATAATGTTGGTAGCTGCCAAAGATTGATGAAATTTTACATCAATTCACAGTAAAATTCTTGACTAATGAGGAATAGAAAGGATTATTCTTAAACTGGAATATTCCAATATTTTACCAATAGTTTACCAGTATTCCAGAAGCTCCCAGATGTTTCCTAGTTCCCTTTGCAGTTAGATCGGGGTCAAGTGACCGATTCTGTCCAATAGACTATGAATGGGAGTGACGTGTGTCACTTTGAGGTGAAGGCAGTTGAGCCGATGTTCGTCCTCCATCCCTCTCTTCTCTTGCTCCAGTGACCTTGGAGGCTGTATTGCAGATGGCATAGATTAAAGATGGAGTAAGGATGCTTCACTCTCATCAGACTTTGCGTAAGCAAGAAATAACCCCTTATAGTGTTAAGCCTCTAAGATTTCAGAGTGTATGTGTTATGACATCATAGCCTATCTTATTCTAATATAAGGACATCTGCCAAAAACTACAGCTCTCATATTTAGTGCTGAGAAGTTAGAATCACTCTCTTTAAAATCAGGAGTAAGAACACGATGACTGCTACTTCTGCTTCTATTCGACATGGGGATCCTACCTGGTGCAGTAAAACAAGTAGGGATTGGAGCAGAAGAAACAAAACAGTCATTATTTGGCAGATAAATTGGTTATCTATGTAGTAAACCTTATGTATAAGTCAACAAGTTGCTTAGAAGAGGTGTGTATTTAAAATCAGTTACTATGTGCCAGCAATCAAAAATTAGAAAACTTAACTTTTTAAAAAGGTGCCATTCACAATTTCACTAAAAACTGTATGGTACCTAAGAATAAATTAACAAAAGAAGTGCAAGACTTTCATGGAGAAAATTGTAAATGCTTATTGAAAGACCTCAAAGAAGGTCTGAATGCTAGGAGAGAGATAAAGACTCAGTGACGTAATGATGTCATTTCTCCCCAGTTTGATCTCTAGAGTTAATGAAATTATAGTCAGAATCCCAGCAGCATTTTTAGGGAACCTGTAAAGCTGGTTTTAAAGTATGTGTGGAAGAGGAAAGGGCCAAGAATAGCCAAGATACTCTTGAAGTAGAACGAGGTGGAGGGATTGACCTAGCAGATAGCAAGAGTTATCACGAGGTTTGAGGAAGAAAGACAGAGTGTGATTGGCTCAGGGACAGGCAAATTGTCTAATGAACAGAAATGACTATTCAGAAATAGACCCACTCGTTTATGAAATTGGACATATGACATAGGAGATTTCATACTAATGTAAAAAGGATGGTCTTTTCAATAAATGGTGCTGGGACAATTATTTAGTTCACGTGGGGGGAAAATAATATGTACTTAACCAGTTTTTGTAATCAGGCTCTGGTTGAGTTTTATGTCTTTTAAGAATATTATGTATGGAGAATCTGCTCTAATGTTTTGTTTTTTTTTAAGTAAGCCCAAGGAAATGACAGTTTGGGGATATTTCCAACATACATGATAGACAGAATGTTTATATCCCAATATATGAAGAGCTCTTACAAATTAATAAGAAAAAAGACACAAACCTTTATCATTTTGCTTTCCTGACTGATTTTGATTGATATTTTAGAACTTTTCCTCAACCAGCAGCTGTGACCTTGTGTGGGTTTATAAAAAGGTAAAAGATTTTCTTGTCTTTTATACTTAAAGCATGTCCCAGGTGGATGTGGATTCAGGAATTGAAAATATGGAGGTTGATGAAAATGATCGGAGAGAAAAACGGAGCCTCAGTGATAAGGTTGGTAAGAGATGAGCCCCTTGTTTTAGTGTAATACAGATAGTATAAACAGACTATTTCATGTCTTGTATCTGGAGAGTCTATTAGAGTGGGCCACTTCAAATCAGCAGATCCTGTGCAGGAGATTTTTTATCTTTTGAGGAAAAACGGGTAGCCTAGATTGTCCTTTTAACGAAAGTGTAACTCAGTTCTTTATCTGATAAAATCCCTCAGTTATCTTTGGTTCAGGTCCATGTTTTTATTGGTAAATTTACTTAGTAGGAGGGACTAATTTAGAGCCAATTAGAATTTTTTCTGTTTGTTTTTTGCTGAAGCAAGAGTAGATCATCACATCTTTGGCAGTATTCTGAGGAAAATGTCTGAGAATTGAAGTAAGAATATGTAGAATCCAGTAGCATGTTGAAAGCTTTTTGAAAACATGAGGCTTTTATATTTGATTATCATCTGAGCTTAGTTCCTCATATTTAGGGTTTTGTTTTGTTGTCATGATTTAGATAACTGCATCTCCTTCTGTTCAGCAATCATTAGGAATGCTTTAGGCAGCACATTTAGAAGTTAGACTGTTGCCTGCTCGTGGTGAAGTAGTTTATTTTGTATAGTTCTTTAATATTTACAGCATTCTTACATAGAGAATATTTTATCTGTGGTGGAATGTAATGAGAAATGTTAAATTTTGGAAAAATTCCTGGGAGGAAATTGGATGTGTAACTAGAATGTTAACCTGGTCTTTTGGAGTTCAGAAGAGTAAATAGATAGGATATATGTATGTCCTTTATCACATTTCTTCCTTGGCAATTCCTGATAATGCCCTTGCTCTTAGATGTTCCGCCATAAATTGTACTATAAGCTCACAAGACCTTGATGTGATAACTTTGAAGTCATAGTAACAAATTGAGTTTTCCCTTAATCATGGGGTGAATGGTTTTATGCATTTAAAAAATATCCTCATTAGTAAAAGATTAAATCAGAATAAGGTGTTTTTATTGAAGCATTCAATTCATACCTCCTATTAATTCTCAAATCTTCTTTCTTGCCAGGAGCCTTCATCGGGCCCTGAAGTGTCTGAAGAGCAGGCGTTACAGCTGGTCTGTAAGATCTTTCGTGTCTCTTGGAAAGATCGGGACAGAGATGTCATCTTTCTTTCTTCTCTTTCTGCACAGTTTAAGCAGAACCCAAAAGAAGGTAGGAATGTAGCTCAACAGTCTTGTTTCAGTGTACTTAGAAGAAAACAAGATGTCTGCTCTTTGACCTTTTCCATTATCCACACTCACTCTATTTTGCTTTTCGGTTGTATTTATTTATTTATTTTTTAACGGGATCACAACCCTTGGCTTGGTGTCGCCCGCACCACGCTCAGCCAGTGAGTGCACCAGCCATCCCTATATAGGATCCAAACCCACGGCCTCGGCGCTATTAGCGCCGCACTCACCCGAGCGAGCCACGGGGCCGGCCCATGGGTTGTATTTTTGATTCCAGGGATACTTGGTGAGGACGCTACTGTTAGGCCATTTGCTTCCCTTTCCACTGATCTTATTAATAAATTATTTTTTACTTTTATGATTTCTACAAAAGAAAATGATATAAATCAGGTTATAATCTCCATTGTGTCAGAAATTTAATTTTTTTCCTTTGCAGTAGGAAGAGAAAGCATTAACTCTTCTTATAAAGTAGGCATATACTGGGTAGTCTCCAGGGATCCTGATAGAGATGCTCTGTCTGACCTATACCTGCTTCAAGTGCCTACAGGCTGTGTGTAGACAGTGGAATAAATCTGTTTGATTAAGTTGCTTAGCAAAATAGAACATAATGACACTTTGCTGTGTTTTCCAGGATTCCATTTTAAGAGGCTGTGCTAAGCCACACTTACAACAAAATAATAAAAGTTTTAGCAAGATACCAGTATTATAGGGCACTATCATTTTTCTTAACAGTAGTCATTTGGAAGACAGCAGTGGTAGGGGAGGTATGCCGGAGTGTTTTTTTTGCATATTGCTGGACTATAACCTCCCTGATGGTGGGGATTTTTGCTTGTTTTACTCACTGATTTATCCCCAGTGTCTGGAAGGGTGTATTGCACAAAACAGTCCCTCAATAGATACATTTTAAAGGAATGAATGAGTATCAAGCAAATTGCCTTTTCCTCCCCTATGCTGCCTATGCTCCAGGGAGGGAAAAAAGTCCTCTGTGTTCCTGGAGGATGGATAGGCTACTTCTTTTTTTTTTTTTTTTTTTTTCTTTTTCGTGACCAGTAAGGGAATCGCAACCCTTGGTGTGGTGTCACCCGCACCGCGCTCAGCCAGCGAGTGCACCGGCCATTCCTATATAGGATCCGAACCCGCGGCAGGAGCGTCACTGTGCTCCCAGTGCCACACTCTCCCGAGTGCACCACGGGGTTGGCCCAATGGATAGGCTACTTCTGATTTTACTGACATCTCACTAACTCTGGTTATAGAGAGGAGCTTAGCAGCCACATGTTTCAAAACCCTGCCGTTGTTTTTCTTAGGATTCTCAAGTCTGTCTTAACATATATAACTGGTAATTTTCAGTAACGAAATCTGATAAACTTTACATGGTTTAGAACTTTTATTTGTTTAGTGATATTTAAAATGTATCTAAAGACCAACAGTAAATCAGTTGGGAGCTGCAAAAGAATAAGAAGGAAGCTAGAATGTAAAACCTCGGACTTAATAGTTTTACTGTATATGAAGTGTATATAGACTAAGAAATACTAACCCACTTGCATTTGTAGTGTGGTAAACTTCTGTCGTTGGGAGTAGCTTTTTTTTTTTTTTCGTGACCGGCAACGGGATCGCAACCCTCGGTGTCGCGCCCGCACTGCGCTCGACTGAGTGCACGCGCCACCGGGCCGGCCCTGGAGTAGCTTCTTTTTATAGTTAGTATATATTCACAGTAACTCTCATTGACTACACTCCTATTTTTTGTTAAATAAACTTTTTATTTTGGAATAATTTTAGAATTACAGAAAAGTTTCAGAGACAGCGCAGGGAGTTCCTGTATATACTTCACCCAGTTTCCCCTAATGTAACATTTTACATAACCACAGTACATTTGTCAAAACTAGGAAATTACAATTAACTAAACATCAGACTTGATTTGAATTTCACTGGGTTTTCCACTTATATCCTTTTACTCTTCCAGAATCCAAGCCAGGATACCACAGCGAACCATTCTGGTTCAGTGTGGCTTATTTGACGACTGTGTGTCTGTGAAGGACCGTGTGTAACCTGTTCTTTATTTTGCCTTCCCAACAGTGTTCTCTGATTTTAAGGACTTGATCGGCCAGATTTTAATGGAAGTGCTCATGATGTCCACTCAGACTAGAGATGAAAACCCATTTGCCAGTCTGACAGCCACATCACAGCCCATTGCAGCGGCAGCTCGGTCACCAGACAGAAACCTCATGCTAAATGCTGGCTCCAATCCAGGAACAAGCCCCATGTTCTGCAGTGTGGGTTCCTTCAGTGCCAGCTCTTTGTCCAGGTCAGTGTGGTTCTCTTTGCACATCTAATTGGTATAAAACATCCTTGAAGTATGTAGGAGAAGGGAATTTTTATTCACCAATCTGCGTTGTGCAGATTATGGCATGTGTTGTATTTGGGGGGATGGACTTAGTTGTTAGAGTGGGTTTTGTCTTTTCTAGACTTTTTTTTTTTTTTTGGCTTTCCATGGTTGGGCTATTGGTAGATTACATTTTAGAAACAAATGGCTGTGTATACTACATTCTGTGAAAAGACGGCTTTTTCATATTGTAAGTTTAGCCTCTAGATCAGTACAACAATTAGATTATAATTACTCAGATGCTTATCTAATGGACCTATTATACTGGAACTCTTAGAGATCTGAAATGTGATCATACTACCCTTTAAAAGCTTGATTTTCCATTTTAGTTCATTGCCTCAAGTTTTTCTTCATTTTTCTTTTCTTTCCTCTTTCTCAACTAACTCAGCCTCTTTGAAACTAGTCCAGCTCCCACTCCCAGTCTCTGGAGCTCTGTGCCAGTGATGAGTCCGTGTTTTGCCTCGCCTTCCCGTGCGGCCAGCCAGATGGCTGTGCCTTCCTCTTGCCTCGGTCCTCACGGCGCGGCCTCCGGAGCTGCTGCGGGCAGCCAGCCCTCATCTCCACGCTACCGCCCCTACACGGTCATGCACCCGTGCGGGTCTTCCCCTTCTCCCGCCCCGCGGTCCTCAGGCATCTCCGTTCCGCCTAGCTCCCCAAGCCTCCCTACCCTCGCTAGCAGCCCCCAAGCAGTGCCCGCCAGCAGTTCCGGACAGAGGCCCACCAGCATGGGCCCACCTTTACCGCCCGCCTCACCCAGTGCCGGGAGCAGACGTCCCTCCTCCCTGAGGATCTCTCCTAGGTACTTGTTCAGCAGGAGAGCTGTGTGTATGTTTGCAGTGCAGGGCAAGGAGGTTAACACGGATGGGAAGAACTGCTGTGTGACACTGACCTCAGTTAAATTTTGTTGTTGTTGCTTTGGGTTATTAACCCGTGTGGCTAACTAGTTGGGTAGGCACGCGCCCTGAGTCTATGCTTCTGCCAGGCTTGGAGCACATCGGAAAGTATGGCTTGTGCTCTGTGAGTCCTTTTCTTCCCTTCTGTCCCCTCTTTCTCCTTTCTGTATGGGGAAAAAAAAAAAAGAATGAATGAAATAACTTTGTTTTTTGCAGTCTAGTTCACACATCATTCCTTGTTACAAATGAATTTCAGAAACTATGGTCAATGATGTGTTTGAGAGTTGGGCTCACAGGACCCCTTGACTTTTTGTACTGTTGCCAATGGTAGTTGAAATTCATTGAGACCAGGGGGTTGTGGGAGAAATCCGGGCCCGGTGTCCGGTACTTCTGGTGAGTGGGACTGGGGCACTTTATGCCTTGGTGCTGATTTTTGGTACATGTAATCTCAGCCTCTTAGAAGCAGTATTAGAATTCCACTAATCCTGTGGCCCCTTCTCTCAAGTGTACCTATGTAGTTCTGTAACTTAGGTGAATTTGTTTTCTGCATGTCAGTAGACAAAGCTTTTAGTGTAAAATTTATTTAAAAGAACAGCAGTTGCAAAAGCTTCTCCCCTCTTGTTTTTCCTTTGTTCCCTGATGACCTTTTTTGCTTTTGTTGTGGTAGTATGTACGACAACCCTTTCTCCTTCCTCTTCCTCGCACTTTCTGGGGACAGTAGTGATGAAGAAGAAGAAGATGATGATGATGATGGTGATGATGAAGGTGGTGGTGGTGGTGATGATTTTTCTTGTGTCCAGTTTGGCTCCAGGTATCAGAGGAATGGAGTCTTACCCCTGCATGTGCATAGGTGCTTAGGAACTAACTTTTATAAGTCCTAATTAGCGGTGTGTGTTGAATCCAGAGAGGATAGGGTTCAGTGAAGTGGGCTGGCAAGGGTACCTAGGACCTTACAGGATAAAGTGGCACTTAGGAAAATTTTCATAGTTGTCACCTGGTAAGTTTGGAGGAAAACTTACATAGAACCATTTGTCAAAAACATAAAAACAGATTAAAGATCAGCCATCATTAAGGACACCCACTCCTAGATCTAAAATGAGGGACCCTCATTTATCTGTTGCAAGAATGTTCTTGTGAGCTACCGAATGAGAGCAACATGTACTTTGTGAGGCATGTTTTCTCAAGTACAGTTGCATGGACTGCTGCTATTTAGGAATGGCAGAGGGGCTGGGACGTGTGTGTGTGTGTGTGTGTGTGTGTTCCCTTCCTACTCCTGTGTCCCTCCTCACCCCTCTATCAAGCTCAGTGTGGGCAATCCATTGAAGAATATGTGGGGCCATGTTCTCTAGTATAACTGTGATTCTGCTTTCACTTCTCACCTTCAGTTCTCCAAGCACCTCCTTGACCTTGGTGAAGCCAGACCCCATTTGTCAAAAGAACCTTTAGAAATGGAATGGCAACAGAGGCTAAATCATAGTTCATGATGTTGCTGAATGTTTACCCCAAAGACTGAGTGAAAAACAACTACTCAGGTTTTCTAGGTGACTTTGAGCAAGAAAATATAATAGCACCTTTCTAAGCCTCCGACTCATTGTCTTACAATTTTGCTCTTTAATTTTTTTAAGTTTCCTCTGGACCAAGTTGGTGTTTGTGCCCAGCACTGTTCAAAAATAACTCCAGGCTATATATAGAGACTGCAGGAGGAGTTAGGTGCACTTCATTAAATTTGACGGTGTTCAGAAGAATCATTAGAGACTATATAAAGAGAGAGAAGAAAGTTGATGCAAGGTGGAATATTGATTCAGGAAGGCTGATATTTGTAGTAGGTTGAACATTCTGTCACTATTTCTCAAGTGAATTTCCCAAAGGAGGAAGTGTCTTTTTCATGTAGATAGAATCCTATTACATGATTATAGTACTACAGCAGGCGTCCTTAAGAATTAATTTCCATACATGGTAAAAGTGCTGTGTTATTGTATATTATCTGTGGGAGAAATGTTCTCTCTCCCTGGCCTATTTAATTTTTACTTTCTTTAACAGGTATATCAGATTGTGTCTTGCTTTTACTAATTCCTCTCTTTCTAGACTTCTAACATCCCAGCCTTGCCTCAGATCTGGATTCTGTACCTAAGGGGAGAAATAAAACATACCAATGGTGTGATAATAGCTGTAACTCCTCTTTGCACAGCTTGTGCCAGATACTGTGCTGCACTCTGTATGCGTCATCTCCTTTGGTCCTCACTGCAGCACTCTGGGAGGAAACAGGCTGCAGAGAGGTTCCAGTCACACAACTCGTAAGTGGCAGAGCCTGGATTCAGACTCAAGCAGCATCAGTGCAGAGCTCACAGTCATCACCACCACACTGTGCTACCTCTGGCTCTTCCATTTTTGCCCAAACAGGACTTGTATTGTTCTCGTTCCTCACCAGGTACTTCCCTGCCCAGAGTCTGTGCGTCTACTCTGCTCCTTGGCAAGGAAGTGGCAGCATTTTACTCTTTAATTACAAAATTCCATTCCAGTCCATTGGCATGGCCCTTGTTGGCTGCTATAATGAAATGCATAATGTTATATGATCATCCAAATGAAAAAAAAAAAATCTGATCATCCAGATTTTGGCAACTTGCATATTCTTAATAGATATCAAAAAGAATGTAAAAGGGAGCTGGCCGTTTAGCTTAGGTGGTTTCAGTGTGGTATCAATAACACCATCAAGGGTTCAGATCCCTGTGGCCAGCCACCAAAAAAAAAAAAAAAAGAATGTAAAAGGATGGGTAAAAATATGTAGCATAACTGTTTAACAAATAAAAGAACTGGAGAATGCATGGAGGGTCAGAACCAGGAAGAGGGAGCAAAAAACCTTGTTAACTTGAGCAATCAGCAAAATTATAGTCCTCCCCTTTCTCCTTTATAATTGATCTTCGCAGATTTTTGTTTCCTTTGAAGTAAGAAATTTTAACACCTACTTCTTGCCTGGTAAGATTAGTGGCATAGAAGACAGAATCAACAGGGGTTGCAGCTGTCTCCCCTTCCATTTGCCCAGTGGAGTCGGTGTGTTAGAAATCTTTTTGGAAGTAGCTGGGACATACATTCACGTGTTAGTTATTTCTAGTGGTGATGATAAGGGTTACTTTAAAAAAAGGTGAAACATTCCTTCCGTAATGTTTTGTAGTCTTCTGTGAAAAGAACCGGGTGTGTTAACAGGAACTGCTTCTTGCAGGAGTAGAAATGAGTGAGCTGGAGAATTATCCTGTGATAAAGGTACCATGGCAGTTATCCTGGGGAAAACTGTGCTAGTTGCTTCCCAGGAAGTTGATGACTAGAAAGGAATTTGGTGGTTTTGTTTTGTTTTTTGGGTTTTTTTTTTTTTAACTGCTTAGATATTTCAGTGAAGAAGGTCAAATTTGGAATGTCATGAGCCTGTGTCAGTAGAGAAAGGGAAAACTAACAAATAGAAAACATTGACATCACTGCTTGGGGACGAAACATGGAAATAGTAGAAGAGAAATCCTTACACGCTATGTATCCCCAGAACCCTCCAGTGACTTCTCACACAGAGTAGAACCCAAAGCCTCTCACCATGGTTTACAAGTCCCTGCGTGTCTCACATACCCAACACACACACCCACACACACAGCGAAGCATGAACGTGCACATACCCATGCACACGCACACAAACACGCTCGTCTTTCCTACCTAATGCACCAGACTCTTGTTTTTTGTACTTATTATTCCCTCCTGTCTTAGGCCTTTCTACTTGTTTCCTCTCTTTGGCCCACTCTTTCCCCAGGTAGCTGTGTGTCCCGCTCCCTGACTTCCCTCAGTCCTGCGTGTGAATGCCACCTTACCACAGGGTATTCCTGACCATCATATTAAACATGATATAAAACGCACACACATACACACTTCCCCTCTCCGCCACACACACTCTGCTTTTATGTTTCTTCATAGCACTTATATATATGAATTTGGTTTTGATTGTCTCCCCCTTCTAGAATGTAACTGCAATTTCAACAGGGTCTTCATCTGTTTGATTAGGTGCTTGGCCTCAGGACCTGTATATAACAGTGCCTGGGACACAGGAGGCTCACTATAAATGCTTGTTGAATGAACTTATGCTGCTTAAAGCTGCTCAACTCTGACTTTGCCTTACATTGAGAAAATATAAAATTCCAGGGTCTCCATTTAAAAAATTAGTAAATGGAATGGTATTTATTCCCATTATAAGAGAAACTGCAGTGGAGTCTCTTTAAGAAGTAAGTTTGCTTGGTGCATTTAAAATAGAATTCATTCTGCACAGGTCTGATGCAGGAGTATTGTCATTTTGTTTTCAGAAAGATTTGGCTGTATTTCTATTATATAGAAGTAATCACATAATAAAATTGGACTGTTGTTGTAGTTATCAGAAAATGGTTCCTATATTCTCCCAGAGGGAGGCATGGTTTTTTAGATACTGTTAGGACTTAAATATGACATATTTCCAAGATGTCGCAGTTGTAAAACCATCATGAATTTTGTAACTTTCTGAGGAATAAAAGTGAAATACCCTTTTAAGCATTCAAAAATGTTTATTGATAGTATAAATTTATGCATATAAACTGTACACCTTTCTCCTTCAGTATCACATTCAGAAATTGAGTCCAGGACTGGCCTGGTGGCGCACTGGAGAGTGCGCCGCTTGAGAGTGCGGAGGCGCTCCCGCCGAGGGTTCGGATCCCATGTGGAGACCAGTTCCCGCTCACTGGCTGAGCGCGGTGCGGGCGCAACACCGAGGGTTGCGATCCCGTTGCCGGTCCCTGGTACGGGCACGACACTGAGGGTTGCGATCCCGTTACCGGTCAGTAAAAAAGACAAAAAAAAAAAAAAGAAAAAAGAAAGAAATTGAGTCCAGCTCTTCCACTTTGACTCTAAATATCCTTGTAAGTCAATTTTGACCATGACGCTTATGGTTAGCGTTGGTGAGACTGGCCATTTTTCATACTTGTGAGCATGATTTAACTTAGCATCTTTTTAGGACTGATCTTATAATTTTGAAACATGTTGACAAATACTGGGGTTTACTTTATATTTCCTATCTGGTTTAAGTTTTGTTTCATTTTTCCCCCCTCTTCTCTTAACTGGTTGTTTGGTGCCTGACTGATGATCACCAAAATACACCAACCCCTTTTAGCTTGAGTGTCTCTCATTGCGTTGCCCTGCGCAAGATATGCAGTCTTCTGCATCTATTGTTACTTTTCATGTCTTAGTGAAATATTTGTGAAAACATTTCAAGTGACAGTGAGGAGTCCAAGTTTAAGTTAAAATTAAATGAAATGTGTTGCTAAGAAAGAAACCTCATTTCAGTGGCAATTGCATGAGCCAATGCCATCTAAGCATGATGAGTTCACACAAACATGAGTTCACATGCCGCCTGTGGGCACCACACCCCACTGGCTCCTTGCAGCTGGCAAGGACTTATCAATGTCAGATATAAGATGTTTTTCATTCCAGAAATGTAAAAATGTGAGAAACATGGGGCGTACTATCAAGGAAATGTATAGTTTAAAATGTTCATTTTATACATGAAGATCTATTTTCATTGTCACTGCAAGAGCTGCTTAAAGGAAAATTATGCTCAATTTTATATATAAAACTATAGGTACAAGTCTTTATTAGCGAAGTCCGTCTTTGGGAAGTGCAGTGAATATAGTCACCGAGTCACTAATGTCAGACAGAACAGGGCGGAATCCCAGATAGCTTGAAGCTAACTGAGATTGCTGCAGGTAATGGCAAATATCTTTTTCCCCTTTCTGCTTTTGGAGATTCACCACTCTTTTCATATTTGGTGATAGGTTTTTCTGTTTTGTTTTTATTTATGAAGGCTGGCCAGTTAGTTCAGTCGGTTAGAGCACAGCCTTGTAACACCAAGGTTGTGTGTTTGGATCCTCATTCTGGCCATCTGCAAAAAAAAAAGTTTTTATTTATGGTTTTTCTGTGCTTTATAGTATTCACCTTTCTGTTATCAGACCAATTAGCATATACCAGATCTTGCCCTTAATTAAGTGTATCAAAAAATACATTTCTATAAAGACGTAAAAATTCATTGTCCTTGTGTTTTTAGGGTTCCCACGTTGACCTGCCCATCTGTGTCATGACTCTGGTGAGGTGCTTTGTGGGTGTTACTTACCTGCTCACTCCGCAGGAAGTTGGCTGCCTTCACTCCTTCGACTGCCTCTCAGCCCCATCTCCTCCCTTCCCTACCATCAGACCTATATTGTAGGTTGTAGGAATTCAAATTTCTGGGCTGGCCCGGTGGCACACTGGAGAGTGCGCCGCTTGGGAGTGCGGTGGCGCTCCCGCCAAGGGTTCGGATCCCATGTGGAGACTGGTTCCCGCTCACTGGCTGAGCACGGTGCGGGCGCAACACCGAGGGTTGCAATCCCGTTACCGGTCAGTAAAAAAGACAAAAAAAGGGAAAAAAAAAATTTCTTATACTCTGGGCTGAAAACCTTGGATTTAAAACTGGCATTGTTTTCTCCTTTACTGAAATACTTTAATAATATAGTTTCATTCCAAGGTCAATTATATGTATTTTCCCAAAATTCTAAAGTCAGTTATGTATACTCATGCATTCTAAAATTAGGTATGCTTATCTATCTGTATGACATGTGGTTGATATCTCAATTCCTCTTGGTACTTTCGGTTTCTAGCCTTTAATTTTCTGCCCCAGATTGAAGTAGGGATTTATTTCTCAAGTTCCTGATACTTTTCCCATCTTTTATCATCTTCTACATGTAATTTTTTTGCTAAGTTTGTTTTCCCATTTCCTCTACATTTCAGAATTTCTTGCTTTTTTCTATGCTGTGATTAATCTCTTTGTATCTTTTGTGTACATCACATTTGTGAGTTCACCAGATTTGGTATGTGACATGTGACTGGTTGTTCTTAACTTCGTTAATTTCCTCCAACTCAGCCCTTGTGGTTATGTTAGGTTTTTATCTCAGAGAACAGTTATCACTAATAATAATGGGCTCCACCGCGTCTCCTGCTTATATTTTACGACACACTTCCACATTATTTCATTGAAGCCTCACTGCACGCAAGATAGAGGTTCTAGGTTCAGGTAACAAATAAGCAATAGGGCTGGGACTGGAACCTAAGTCTGGTTACTCCTAGTGCCAGGTTTTTGTTTCATTTTTACTATACTATTTTGCCTTTTTCACTGAAACTTGTAGAAATTTTTGTGTTGGTAGCAAATATGTTCACGTCTCTTTCTAACTGGACAGTTTTCCTAAGCTCTGGTCCTCCTGCCAAATGCTGGATGAAGACTTTTGAGATCTATGCTAGAAGTCAGGAGGATGAGGGATATTTTGTTAGTCCCTTATACTTCACTTCTAAAGAGTTTGATTACAGCAATAGCATAGTCTGGCTTTAACCTAGCTCTGCCTGAGTAATGCTGTTCAGTTCGGTTTAATACCTGTGATATCCCTTCAAATGCCTAGCACTTGGTAGCAGTTCTCAGTCCTTCCAGTTTTATAAGTTGCCATCCCCAGTAAGATAAGGTCCCCTTCATAAGTCCATAAAATGTTTACCAAAAGTTATTGTTGTTGGACTTGGAGAGGTGAAGCAAGCAGTCACCTCCAATCTTGGCTGCATGGGTGTTTGTGCTTTGTCATGGGTGCAGGGATCTTTCTGCTGCAGAAATGCAAACTGTCAAAAGAAATAATCGAGAAGAGATAAGAATCATCTATTTTTTTTTTTCTTCTCCAAAGTTTGGGAGCATCTGGTGGAGCTAGTAATTGGGATTCCTACAGTGACCATTTCACCATTGAAACCTGCAAGGAGACAGATATGCTGAACTACCTCATCGAGTGTTTTGACCGTGTTGGAATAGAGGAAAAAAAAGCACCAAAGGTAATATGAAATACATTTATTTAAAGAAGAACCCTGATTATTTGTTTTAATAAATTTCTTCACTTCTCCTAGGAGCATTCATTCATTTATTCAATCAGTAAAGTAGTTTCCAATCATCTTCTATGTGCCAGGCACTGTACAAGGAACTTGGGAGTATGAGGGAACAAAACCAAGATCCCTGTCCTCATGGAACTCACATCCCAGTGGAGGGAAGAAGTGACAGGGCCAGATGTGAACTCCAGTGGCCTGGCTTCAGAGTCCTCTCTCTTGACCACGCTGTGGCTGGGTGCCACCAGTAACTTACATGGCCCTGATAGTTTCTGATAGTCTGTCATAATTATAAAAATAACAAACATTATGGAGCATGTGCAGACTGCCAGGGACTGCTAAGTCTGCATTAGCTGACTTTTCACGGTTGTTCTGTGAGTCCTGTGGACCCCAGTGTAAGATAGGTATTCTTTTTTCCATTGTATGAATAAGCAAATGAACCTTGGAAAGATTGAGTAATTGTCCAGAATCACATAAATAACAAGTTGCGAGGCTGGTTTTAAGCTCAGGAAGCTACACTTTTGCCACTACTTCCTGCTGACTGGCTTCATTATTTTCTCATTTTATTCCTAATTCATTTTCTGGTTCTAGTTTTACATGGAAACTAATCTGCTTGTCCACTGGTTAGCTTCATATTTGTGAAGGGCGTCTTTGGGGTTTGTTGTACTTAACCTTAGCAAAAGCAGACAGTGGGCGCATCTCCAAGGTTCTCAAGTGATCACCACGAACTTTTGCTTCTCTTGACTGCTGATTTCAGTGGAGACAGTGTACTTGGGTGACACAGTTACTTTAGTTACTATAGCTTGTTCATTGTGAATAAAGGAAGAGAAGAGCGTGCCATTTTCTGGAAAGCGATCTCTTCTGACTTCTGTCAGTTTTCAACAGCGTGGGATTATTTTGTTGTTGTTGTTTTTTTTTTGGCAGCTGGCCAGTCTGGGGATCCAAACCTGTGGCCTTGGGGCTGTGAGGCCGCACTCTAACCTACTGAGCTAACTGGCCAGCTCGTTTTGTTTCTTGTAGTCCTAACCTCCACCTTTCTTTTTCAGATGTGCAGCCAGCCAGCAGTCAGTCAGCTTCTGAGCAACATACGCTCCCAGTGCATATCCCACACTGCGTTAGTACTACAAGGTTCGCTAACACAACCAAGGTAGGAAGAACCATTCCATGCCGGCCCTTAGCAGGGAGAAGATCCTGCCCACCAGTGGACATCAGGCTGTCCAGCCATTTTGCACCACCTTGGATAACTCTTTCCTCACCTGTAAAATGAAAGTGTTTGATTAGATGATCTCTGAGGTCCCCTTCCTTCTCTAAAGTACTATGAATTAAAACCCTCTTTTCTTCCTCATCTTCTAAGTAGTGCAAAGCATATTTTTAAAAAGAAATTAGTTGTATTTTAAGAGTTCTCTGTGCTTTTTGAAATAGACCATTGATGAAATATGTGGACATCAAGGCAGAAAATTAGTAATTTAGCTTAAAAGCAACTGTTTAAAATAGGTGGAGGTATTTGATAAAATGTGTGGATTATCACTTTCCACATATCACATAATTTATGTTATTTAGTAATAAAGACTAGTAGTGGAACAGATAATTTGGGAATCACCCAAAGTACTACATTCTTTGTTTTTTCCTGAGAGTTTCATAAAGGCTTCCATTTTTTTTCCCTTTTTGTCTTTTTTCGTGACCAGTAACAGGATCGCAACCCTCGGTGTCGCGCCTGTACCGCGACCGGCAATGGGATCGCAACCCTCAGTGTCGCGCCCGTACCGCGACCGGCAACGGGATCGCAACCCTCGGTGTCGCGCCTGTACCGCGACCGGCAATGGGATCGCAACCCTCAGTGTCGCGCCCGTACCGCGACCGGCAACGGGATCGCAACCCTCGGTGTCGCGCCTGTACCGCGACCGGCAATGGGATCGCAACCCTCAGTGTCGCGCCCGTACCGCGACCGGCAACGGGATCGCAACCCTCGGTGTCGCGCCTGTACCGCGACCGGCAATGGGATCGCAACCCTCAGTGTCGCGCCCGTACCGCGACCGGCAACGGGATCGCAACCCTCGGTGTCACGCCCACACCACGCTCAACCAGTGAGCGGACGGGTCTCTATATGGAATCCAAACCCTCGCGGGAGTGCCGCAGCGCTCAGCGTGGCACTCTACCGAGTGCGCCACCGGGCTGGCCCAAGGCTTCCATTTTAAAAAAGAGTATATGTAGGGCCGAGCCTGTGGCGCACTTGGGAGAGCAGCAGCGCTCCCGCCTCGGGTTCGGATCCTATATAGGGATGACCGGTGCGATCACAGCGCTCACTGGCTGAGCACGGTGCAGCCGGTCTCAAAAAGGACAAAAAAAAAGAGTATATGTATATTTAATTTCTTTTATACAAAAATATCAAAAGGAAAAATTACAAAATTAAATTTATTCATTCTGGGTGTTCTTATATTATTTTCTGTACCATATCCATGTGTTTTTAAAACTTTTCAAAAAGATGGAAAATTATATACGTGTACCAAAACTTTAAAAATGTTCCATGGTTAAAATTAATAAGAGTTTTAAAAAGTCCTCAGCCACTGCTAATTTTTTTTTTCAATTTGAATGAGTCATAAACAATAAGTAAAATAAATAATGCTTTCTTTTTTTAATCCTTCTTTTTTTAAGGGCTCTATATAGGAAATGATGGATTCTTTGAAACTTCCTATAGGTTATTAATGATAAGAAGGGTTATCTTTTGCCTAAAATTGTTGTGCAGAATATTTGGGAGCTTTCAAGTTTGATTTTTGACTGGGCAGTTGCCGACATGACATTTCATGTGCTTCTGTGGATACACAGTGATGGGTTGACTTCATCATAGTCCCTAATTTTCATGCGTCCTCAGGTCCCTTCAGCAGCCGTCCTTCCTAGTTCCGTATATGCTGTGTAGAAATCTCCCATATGGCTTCATTCAAGAACTGGTGAGAACCACTCACCAGGATGAAGAAGTGTTCAAGCAGGTATGGTTGCGTGAGCTGGCTACTCCAACTTTTAGCCTAAGAGCTTCTGTGCTGAGACTGACTTCTAAATACACCATATGTGAAAACTTCTGCTCCTGAATTTGAACATGCATGTGTTATTTGCTTAGAGAGAAGACTTACCTGAGATTCTTTTCTTGAGGAAATTGGATTGACAGCTGCATTGTTCAAGTCATGTGCCCATTTCAACTAATCAGTCAAGGATCAAGTCTTTTAAGTAGGGTCTACACTAAGTGCTTAAGGAGATAAGAAAAAAATGTAAGGCCCTGTCCCTGATTTCAAGGAGCTTTTAACAGAAGAATACCAAGAAATGGCATTTGCCAGATGATTACTGTTAAAAATTAGTTCCCTGAGTTAATAAGTTAATAAATTAATGACTAAATTTTCTCAGTGGCAGTCTGTATAACACATAGAATCTGTGTCTTATCACTAAACTAGGAAAGATGCCTTATATCTTACTAATCACTTCATTCATTAAGTATTTATACATTGTTTTGATATCTCATTATATAAAGTCAAGTGAAAATGTAGACATGATATTTAATAATAAAGCTGTTTACTTAGTCTTGAAGGTTTCTTCCAAGGTGAATCTTTGGTGGTAACATTTTGATTGCTGTTTTATGACCCTGTGTTGTAAAGTAAGCACTTTGCCTCAGCAACTTTCACATAAGCTGTTTCCCTTGATGAAACAATTTTCATAAAATTTCCTGTATCATCTCTTTTTTTGTGACTAGAAGGAATAACAGAGTCAATAGCTGTAATTGGTATGATTCCTTTTATTCTGTTTTATATCTAATATTATTCATAACTATTAACTTTAAGACCTTTGAATTCTTAGGAATAGTGTTTTCAGCAGTCTTCAAATTATTTGTAAAAGAAGAACCCAAGATTCAAGAATAAAAATTTTAGTTAATGTTGTGTACTATCTGGAATTCATTAACTGCTTGTCTTAAATGACGGTCTTATTGGCTTACAGGAATATTAAAGGCAGCATAGTGAGCTTTTCTTCAGTAGAAATATAAGTGAACTCTGATGAAAATAAATAACTGTCTTGGAAGGTTTAAGTGATACACCACATTATAGATGTAATGGGCATAAATTAGAGTACTTTTTCTATTCAAAAAAACATCATTTGAGGAACCCAGAGTAGTTTTAACTATATAAAATCAGTCAGTGATCAGCTGAAAGGAGTATGGGGTATGTTATGTCTACTTTATTCATAAACAAACTTAGGCAAAGGTGAAATGATCTCTTTGGTTTTTTTTAAATTGAAGTGAAATTCATATAATATCCAGATCAAATTTTGATATTTTATAATATCAAAATTGTACATTTTGAAGTGTACAATTCAATGGCACTTGTTATATTCACAATGTTGTGCAACCACCACAGCCCTGTTTATTTTTAGTCACAGAATTCTTTTGTTGTTGTTCTTTTTTTTTGTCTTTTTTACTGACCGGTAACGGGATCGCAACCCTCGGTGTCGTGCCCGCACCGGGGACCGGCAACGGGATCGCAACCCTCGGTGTTGCGCCCGCACCGCGCTCAGCCAGTGAGCGGGAACTGGTCTCCACATGGGATCCGAACCCTCGGCAGGAGCGCCGCCGCGCTCCCAAGCGACGCACTCTCCAGTGCGCCATCTGGCCAGCCCTAGTCACAGAATTCTGATGCCTTTTCAGCCACTTATTCTTGGACACTTGTCTTTTTGTCTTAAAAGTACAGCAAATGTGAATTATTAAATTTTTGACTAAAATTTCCACCTATGTTTAATGTCCGAGAGATGTTTACAGGTAAATAAATAGAGATAAATAGCAGCTAGAATTTAGGATTGAAGATGAATACTTGTTTAGCATTTTTAAAATCAGTGCTAGGAGGCATTTATTTGAAAATAAGAGAACTGTTTAAAATATGTAGGTCACATAAATAATATAATGTTTGACTACTTGGAGAATATTATTCTTAGTAATATTTTGTCTGCTTATTAGAAATTAAGCCCTACTTGCACAAGAGGATAACTCCACTAGAAAAAGTAAAGATGTTTTACTTACAGCATTCCTGAAACAAATGTTTAGAGATTTTTCTGGATGACAAATTATAAAATTTATTTTTGGTGACTCTGGAACTTCTGTTTGTCTTTTCTTCTTGATTGTAAACTTGGCATTCCCCACCCCACACCTGAGTGTTACTTCTTTATTTTTAGCTAGCTTATGAAAGCACATTACTTCTACCCGGATTGTTTGAGTTGCAAAAACTAGAATGATCTCTTCCAGAGCTGTGTTGATATCTCAGAATGCTCCACAGACACCTTGTAATCCAGGGCACCTTTTTTGTATTATGCTTTTTAAATGATGAATGTGCTCAGTACAATGGGAAGAAATTAGTAGGAAAGGAAATATTTCAGGTTTTCTGGTAGCTTCATAGTATACTCTGTTTACAATTTGTTGGCATTTAGATCGTCAGCTGTTCTTTACAATCTTTTCTACGTAATGTTATTAGTCTTGGACCCCAATAAACTCCATAAACGTGTTGATCAGTGAGTGCACTGTGAAATTTGAAGGTAAGCCGTGCTGAGCAGAATTTGCATAGTGTTACCCAGTATTAATGATAATTTGTAAATTTCAATTTGAGTTCCAGTAACAGGTTATTGTATTGATTGCACTATATGTGGTGGAAGTAAAGCATTCTAACTAAAGTTCTCTTTTTCAATTTTAACATTTACCAGTTATCTCTTTGCTCTAACTTAGTTAAGGTTAATGGAATAATAATATCCATTATTGATCTGTTTTTCTTGTTTTCCTCAAAATAAACAGGGAAAGACTTTTTAAAATATTGATAGAATTTGGAAAGTATTGGAACATTTAGTCTGATTTCTTTACAGATTATAGATACTTGGTAATCAAGTACATATTAGTTGCTGAGATGTGCAGAATGTAGTTGATTAGAGCAAGGACCCCTGGAGAGTCCTTCAGCAGGTTCCATGTCTGTGGATTTCTTTTGAATTACTGGGAGTCCTGCCAGAGTATTAGAGTTCACCAAAGTCCTCTAACTTGTGGAGAATTCAGCTACATTGCTTTATGGTTAGCCTTGTCAAAGGATAAATCAACACTCTGGCTGAATTCTAAACTCTTTACATGCAAAAAAGCTTTTCCTTGGGGAAGGAGTGGAAATTCCTGGACATCCAGATTTAGCAACTTATTTGACATGCTTCCCATTCTTCAGTTTTATTAAACTTGTATTTCTGATTTTTTTCTGTCTTATAGATCTTTATCCCCATTTTACAAGGCCTGGCTCTTGCTGCCAAAGAGTGCTCCCTCGACAGTGACTACTTTAAATACCCCCTCATGGTAAAATTTTGTTCTTTTTCTCTAACCCATTCGTTAGGTGGGGTTTTTACAGGTTATTTTAACATACACTTTTCTTTCAGGTACGTGATCAACCTTGTTTTCAAATTTAAAACATGAAGTCATTGAGTTGGCCATGCACAGTATTTGGTGGGCAGTGAGATGCATCTGTGAAGACAGTTAGTGGCCTGGTACTTATGCCACCTGTCCGAGTCCTAGACAGGAGTTAGTGATGCACTAGTGTACTTCACCACTCTGTGTAGCTTATGAAAAAGATAATTATTGGCGGCATCCTTCCGATTCTCCTAACAATGAGTATACCATATTTGAGATGAAATTTTGTTATTAAAAAAACTATTAAAAGTACAAATAAAAAGGCAATGTAATACTAAGAAAAGTAATAGTTTTTATGTATTGACTTTGTACAGAAAATCTCAGAATAACCTTTCTTGTTCATCTTCCCTGCTTCCTAAAGCTGTGCACTTCATCTGCAGGCTTTAGCTGAAGTATTACTGAATACTTTTGATTGTAGAAATATGAAGGAAAAACTTTCAAAACATGAAATTAGTTTACTCTATGTATAAATAAATACAACTTTGTGTAAATTGAGGCCATGGTTAAATTGATTTTTTTTTTTTTTACTGTATTTTTTCCTTTTACTCATTCTACTGATCTGATTCCATTATACCATTAATTCATTCCTTACTGAGCATCTAGTCTGTGCTAGGCACTGGGAACACAGGAGCTAGTGAGACAAGGTCTCTCTCCTCGAGGTGCTTATAATCTACTGCAAAAATCAAAGCCACAATGAAACAGCTGAATCCTTCACTGCAATAAATATTAAAATAGAGGTGTACACAAGGGTGCAGTCTTCTACTTTTAAAAAATCAAAATGATCATCATAACACTGAAAGGCTAAAAGTTAATGATAATGCTGGGAAACTATAAGGTAAATTGTGAATTCTTTAAAAATAATTTTGGGGCCGGCCCGGTGGCGCACTGCTACAGTGCGCCGCTTGGGAGTGCAGCGGCGCTCCCGCCGAGGGTTCAGATCCCACATACCGACCGGCGGCTCACTGGCTGAGCGAGGTGCGGGCGCAACACCGAGGTTTGCGATCCCATTGCCGGTCCCGGTCCGGTACGGGCGCGACACTGAGGGTTGCGATCCGTTGCCGGTCACGAAAAAAGACAAAAAGAAAAAAAAAAAATAATAATAATAATAATTTTGAATGGATTTATGCCAGGGCTCTTCTTATTTCACGTATTGTTCAGGTTCCTAATAAAATTCTGTCCATCCTTATGCATTGTTCTGTCTATGGCACATAAAAGGAAGTGGGATAGTCTGATTTGTGTTCAATGATGAAATATTTTAGTGAACACTAATTATCAGTGTATTATGTAAATATTCCTTCATGGAATTGTTGGCTTTTGGATTGTGGTTTGAATTAGCTTAATGTTTCAGTGAGGAGCTTTTAGTGTCAGGTATCAACAAAATGTTCTTTTTAGTCAAAAGACAAAGGCCTTCATTGTAGACAATAATTGAATTCTGTGCCATCATTGACGCTTGTGTCATAATGAGGGTGCAGTGAGAGTACAATAATGAGAGGCTGGAAGAGGAAGACTGTTGGAGCTAAAGTCAGAAATAATTGTGATTATTCTCTAAGCCAGTGGATCCCACTAGCCATGCCTTATAGTCACCTGGTGATCTTTAAAAGATGCGAATGCCTGGCTCCCAGCTAGCTCCAGGCATTGTGATTTAACTCTTCGGGGGTATGGCATGACAGTGGGATTTTCAGTTCCCATGGGATCCTTAGGTGCACCACAGTCTCTGAACTCCTGCACCAGGCAGTGAGAGCTTTCACCTCTCAGGGGCTGAGCCTCAGAGGCTTCTCAGAGATGTGTCAATGCCTTAATGAATCTACCCTTTGGCTGCTTTAGCAACTTTTATAGCTACAACTAAATCACAGAGAAAATTAAATTCACTGTTAAAAATGAGTGTTTGATTAAATTAGCATGGCCATGTTAAATTGTGTTTTTTTAATTCTGTTGGCTGGCCATAAACCATTTATGTCCCTAAAACCTGTTTTCATAAGTCTCTAATATAGGAATGATTGGAGCTGCGAAGGAAAATATTAGAGTTCTCAGAAATACCAGCTATCGTGAAACCAAGTTATGCTTTTACATATGATCTGAATTTGATAGCTTGTTAAATTATAATTATTTATAGTCATGCTTAGCACTAGCAAGACTAGCCATCTAAAGTTTATGAAATAAATCTTTTTGATATGGAAAGATATAGAGTGAAAATGTGTTTTTGTAGAAGTTACATTTATTTCTATATGGATATACACAAAAATATGTCTCAAAAGCTGTTAATCAAAATATCAGTAGAGGTTATCTCTGATGGTAAAGTTTGAATGATGGTTTTATTTTATATGTCTGTTTTATTTGAAGTTTTTTATAATGCACATATATTTCCTTATTAAAAATGATTTTCAAGGGAATATATTATGTTTTTAGCAACAGTAAAAGCCTTTGATGTTGCACATGGCAGGCAGTTTAAGATGAAATACATTTAAATGACTGTTTCTGATCTTATTTCTAGGCACTAGGTGAGCTCTGTGAAACCAAGTTTGGGAAGACACACCCTATGTGCAATTTGGTAAGCACCTATCTGATGGGCTTGCACATTTTTGGTGAATATATCATAATTCAAGAGGTGTTCCTTAAGTAACATTATCTGAAAAGTTTCTCTTGAAGGACTTTTAAATGTAGATGGAGAGACATGACTGGGAGGGAGACTTAGCTATTAAACCATGGTACACGTTGTTTCCTCTGATGAAGTTGTTTGCTTGCTTTTCTGATTTTTTTGAATAAGTATTGTACAACTAGAATGACAAGTCCTATGGGAAGGGTTTACGCGAGTCCTTTGGTAGTATAAGAAGAGTTCATTTGAATTCCATCAAAAATATCTTGAAGCATAAAAATATAAAGATTATTTTGTAAAAATGTAGAAGAAGTTGGAGGGTTTTTCTCTGTCTGAGGTGAGAAAATACCAACAGTGATCCTAACATATTTGCGTGCCTTGGGTTTGGGGACGTAAGTGTCAGCCATTGTGCTGGTGGCTTAAGAATCACCCGGACAGGCTGGCCACTGAGAACTCTGTTCATTACATCATTACCTCATGGACCTATAGCAGCTTGATTGGCCTCTTCCATGTTTTGCTCAGGTTGCTTCTTTGCCATTGTGGTTGCCGAAACCCTTAAGCCCTGGCTCTGGGCGGGAGCTGCAGAGACTGTCTTATCTGGGGGCTTTCTTTAGCTTCTCAGTCTTTGCAGAAGACGATGTAAGTACAGTGGCCATTTGCACTTTGCTGCTGTTTTGTTCAGATTCCTTCCCAAATGTTCATTATATGTTGATTGAGTTTTTTCCTTCTCTTTCCAGGTTAAAGTGGTTGAAAAGTATTTCTCAGGGCCTGCCATTACCCTGGAGAACACTCGTGTTGTTAGCCAATCACTGCAGCATTATTTGGAGCTGGGAAGGGTAGGTGTCCAGAAAACAAATCCAAAGGATGGATAAAAGATAAGCTCTAGATAGGGAGCTCCTTCCACGTTGTAGAAGGGATGCTGCCCAATTTACAAATGGCTACAATTAAACCTTACAAAAAAAAAAGCTACATAAAAGTAACTTTTGTCTTGAATAATAACTGCAAGAACAATACATGCTGTCCTTTTTATGTAGCATTACTGGGGACTGCTCCTAAGTTTAGTGATGCTCTTTCTCCAGCTTACCCTTAGGCATTTCAACTGTGAGGGTGAGCAAGAGCTCTTAGTTTGCACATGCCCCTCGCTGACTCGATTTGATATCTCCTCAGTTCTGAAACTTAAAAGCAGAGAAATTATAGGCTTGGGTAATTAAGGTCATTTTGATCATGCAAAGGAAGTAAGAAACTTTAATTTTATTAAAACTGTAACTACTTACCTCCTCCACTCCATATTCTGCTTTCATGCTAATTATCTTGAAACGGTTGAAATGGACATTTCTTATATTCCTCTTGTAGTCAGGCTCTCCTGAAATGAGTGGCAGTGGGACAGGAGAGAAAGTGGGACGTAGGCTAGCTGTTCTCAAAGTGAAAAAGAAATAATGTTCCAAATGAAGTTTTAATTTTTTCTACTTTTTGGAAATAAATTTCAGCAAGAGCTTTTCAAGATTCTGCATAGTATTTTGTTAAATGGTGAAACCCGTGAGGCTGCTCTTGGTTACATGGCAGCTGTCGTCAATGCCAATATGAAGAAAGCACAGATGCAGGTAGGATTCCCAAAGATGCTTTTAGTTATGCATTAAATTTATTCATCTAACCCAGCATTATTCAGTACTTGTTAGGCATTGTTCTGGGAATTGGGAGTACAGTATTGAACACAATAAACTTCCTGCTTTTGTGGAGCCTGTGTTTTACAGGGTAAATGAGTAGACATATAAATATGTTATTTTGGACAGTAATAAAAATCTATGAAGAATATAAAGCAAAGGACTTGAGAATAACTGTGGAAGTACCAAAAAGAAGGCACGGGAATGGTTTTTGGTTGGGCAGCAGGGAAGGTCTCCCCTAGGAAGTAACGTTTGGTTAGAGCCCTGACTCATAAGAAAGAGCCAGCCATTAAAAGGCTGAGAAAAGAGATTTCTAGACACCTGTAAGGCACAAAGATGGAAATGAACTAGCTTTGGTGCAAGCCCAACCTGTGAGCCTTTGTGGCCGGAGGATGGTAAACAGGAAAGTGAATGGGGGTCATGGAGTTAGTGGGTGAGCAGGGGCTCCATCAGATGGGCATATGTGATAAGAACTATAATGGGAAGCCTTTGGAAGGTTTTCAGTAAGGAAACCACAAAAGTTGCTATGTAGAGAATGGACTAAAACCGGGGGGGGGGGGGGGGG